ATCTGACATGGCCATGCCATGAATGCTTCTGCTATGGCCTTAAACTTATGACCCCCGGACTTTCAACCATGAGCCTTAGTGGCTGTGCAACCCCAGCCCCCACTCAAAAAAAAAAAAAAAGAGAGATGTGGTGATGTGGTAGTGCTGAAGTCAAATAGCTTCTTTTTTGATGCTGATATTGGGGAACAGGAATTCTATTTGCTGAATGTTTAGCAATGTACTGCAAAGCAGCAGCTCTTTTGCTATTCATGCATGACAAATAGTGCACATTTCTCTTAAAATTTTATGTTGGTACTTTCCAAGAGAGAAACAAGCAATGTTTTTTTCCATGGCTACTATACACTTGACTTATAAAAAATTAATTACCAGGCTGTTATTCTGTGTGCTAATGACTTGATAAAGGATTTAGATTTAACACCCAAAATGATGTACTGTATATGTAGTTTTTAATGCCTTTGCCACTTACTTTTCCTGTTTAAAAATTATCAGCTTTTTCCACCTTATGGTTTGCAATTACAATAAAAGAGTTGAGGCTAAATCCAACTTTACTTCACACACCTACATGGCTCACACAGTCATGTAACTGCAGTTCTTGTCACTTAATCACAATCTATTCATAAGCTATGGTCTTGCAAGGATCCATACACCTCCTGAATGTGCTCAGCAGGACTGTTTTCTGGCCAGGCTGGTGTGAGGTACTGTATGTTAGCCCAGGAACATATGTAAGGCCAGAAAAGTCCCAGAATTGGAGGTTTGAAAAAAACTATAATTAACATGTGTTAAACTCAGGAACAGAATACCTCTATTTAGGTAGGGTAACTATATGTCCTGGTTTAGCTGGGACAGTCCTGGCAGGCTGAAGAGAATTATAACAGGTGTCTTGGAAATGTAGAGGTGCAGGGCAGGGAGTTGGAGCAGCGTAACCTGGCTTGCAAGCAGGAGGCAAGCACAGCTGCCTACCTGGAGGGTGGCCTAGCCGCCTGCAGGCTTGTGAGAGTGTCGGGGTGGGGACGTGTCCTGGATGCCAGGGATAAAAGTCCTGGTTGTTTGGGATCTTCTTATGGTCAGCCTATATCTAGGACACTTGCCCAGAAATCAGGAGACTCAGGCTCTGTCCATCTCACAGGATTTGATTTGATTCTATATCTCCTGCTTCCTAGCAAAGTGCCCTGACCATCAGTACACAGGTTAGGGATTACTCAGACCTCTTCTTGAAGGGAGCCTCTAGGCCACAGAGAAAGTGAGAGAGAGAGAGATGGTAATCAGTGAGATTTTGATTAAGTGAAATGGATACTGCTCCAGATGGGAGGGCATCCAGCATTCTAGCCTGGACCCTTGCTCCCAGTGAGGCAGAATTGCTGCTGGTGCATTTTATCCAATAGATATTAAAATTAAGGTACAATGAGTCAGCTTCAAGGAGGGGCTAGAACAGGGTCAAGATGCTGCCCAACCTGTGGCTTGGTAGTTGCAGCACTGTGCTGGGTAGTTGGAAATGCATATTCAAACCTCTGGGTGAGGCATAATTAGAACCAGGGTGACTGCCTTAAGTACTAGGCTACTGGGCTGAAACATAGGAGTGATTTTCTCCACTATCCCATTTTCTGTTTTGCTTCCAGTATGCATTCATGGAGGGCAATTTGGTTTTGCCACAGGGTGAATCTAAACTGCAGTTACTCATCTACCTACGTAGTATAACCAAAGAAGTGAAGTTGGCTGAGTTCTAGTCTGAAGTTCTGCTTGGGAATGCTGTGCAGGGCATTTACCCCAGAGGAAGATAAGTCTGGGCCTAGCAGCAGGCCCTAGAGACTACTGCTTGATTGCTTCCTGATAGCATTATGTTTTATTTTATTCATTTATTCATTGTTTCCTGGGCTAATACTATAGTTTTGTAACTGGTTTGTTGCTTATGTTGCTTGCTGTGCTAGAGGCAAAGGAGAAATGCTCTGAGGAAGCTGAAAAGCAAAAGCTAGAGTCTGAGAGAAGACAAGGTATATTGGAGCGGCACAAGAAAGACTGTTGGTTTTGAGCAGACCTGTCTTCTGTGCTATTTGGGACATTGGCACTCTGATCCCTCACTTTTGGAAAGTCACTCCCCTCCCCACCCACAACCTCCCTTGGAGCTGAACATGAAGGAACTCTCTGAGGTGGAATCCTAGAGATTGCTGGGGAAGCCAGCGACAGAGAAGAGCTTGTCCCTCTAAAAGCCACTCTAGGGCTGGCTTTAGGGGGCGTCCTTTAAAGGTAGGAGACCAAACGAGTAATCTCTTTGAGAAGTCCCAAGGCAGAACGTTCCCTGGAAAGGGCTAATCTGGGACACATGACATTGAGACATGTGGAGTAAAATAGGTTTTTGCTCTTAATGTGCTGGGGTTTTTTTTAAGCTCTGTCAATATCTAACTAGACTTGCTGTTTTGGCCTTGGGGTTAAGTCACTTCTGTGTGTCACAGTTTGCCCTCTGTAAAATGTGAATAATACTTATCTTGCAGGTTTGGTTAGGCTTACAAGTGACGTTTTCAAAGCACTCTGAACTCCCTGCATGAACAGTGCTAAAGGAGTGCAGCATATTATTAGATCTTGTGAATATCCTGTTATTGTAGCACTAGAATTCTTGCAAACATCTTCCCTACCATCTGTAGAAACTGAACACAGATTCACATCTCCAGGCCTAGGTATGAGCAACTGTTGGGAACCTATTGGGTGTTCCTTTTTCCTACACCGTCATTAAGATGCTAGTACCCAGTCAGCTTTGCTTCCTAAAGGGACTAATTAAAAAGAAATAATTAAAGCTTTGAGTGTGGTTCTGTCCTGTTCTTCTGCTTTAAAAAAAACACAACAATATGAGGTTTCCCAAGAGGAAATAACAAATTATGAGGGCTATGATTAGTTTATTTAAGCCAAAATATGTCAATCTATAGTTGTCATATGTTCATGCATATCCTTAGTTGACCAGTGTTCATGCATGTGAGACCACACTGAAGGAAACACGTTTCAAAGACCCTTCTTTGTAATTAAGAGACTAGAATAAAGGGGGATTTTTTTCTTGTGAATGTATTAATCATAGTAATTTGGGTACTGCTTTTTTAATTACCTGGACCCCTTCACTACTTGGGACCCCTTGTGGCTTCTTCACTACTAAGCTGTGGGCACCCCCACTTAGGTGTTGGACTTCAGGCTGTCATTCTCTTTAGGATAAGCACCAGTGACTGGTTCCTTCCAGATGAGCATCTTAAATGGCCGTTCCCCTCAGTGGACCTGGATTATCAATACCAGACTGTTTTTTTTTATTCAGAATCTCTAGTCCTGTTGTTTTAGGGGTAGTGACAAAATTAGTTCAGTGACTAGCCAGTTTTCATCCAGTGACCAGTCACTACCAGAGCCAGGGAGAGAACCCAGATTTATTTTCTCTTTGTTTAGTGCCCTATTCACTGGATCAAGCTGCCTGGAGAGTTCTGAACACTTTTCTACAATGCCATCTTCTCTGTTTAGTTAGTGAATTGTTTTTAGATACATACAATGCACCCTCCAGACAGCCTCAGTCTATTCACAATCATTTTTAAAACACCTTATTGTTAAGTCATTTAGGAGCAATTGATCTCAATGTTACCAGGTCTCTCTTTTACTTAGACTCAGATTCAAAAGCACACAAAAGCAGGTGCTTCAGTCCCACTGAAGCTTGATGTTAAGTGTGTGCTTAAGTGCTTTGCTAAATAGGAGTAATTTGCTAACTCAAGGCAGACGAGGTTCTTCGGGTGAATCTGATATCTTTTATTAGACCAACTTAAATAGTTGGAAAACAATTATTAAGCAAGCTTTCGGTTTCAAAAACCCTTTGTCAGGCTAAGGAAGTTTCAGCAGTTGGTGTGTGCTCTTCCTGGATAGAATGAAAAGTAAAGAAGCCAGCGGCTGGGCTGGTATGCATACAAGA